GAAAACAAACTTTAATTACCGAAATATAGACTTCATTCATTAGAAATACTCATGCAGTTAATTTTCAGAAATTCTTAAATAACCGACACGTTTCCGTATCTTTATTTACTTTTTTACATTCTTAAGTTAGAATTTGGTATAAGAGCAGCTTACATCCTTCATTTTCACATTTTTTATTCAGATTGCATGCCTAGCATCTAGCTAGAAACTATTATTTTATAAATCTTAGTCAGTGTTTTTTTAACAAACAAGTTAAAAAAAATTTTTCATAATTGTAAAATATGTGACCAAATATTATATTTCAAAATGCTTGTTATAACGATGTACCTATGTGTGTACAAGTTATGAAATAAACTCTGTTCTATTCTGTTCTGTTCTGATATATTCTTAAAATAAAAGTTTGCCAATACGTTAGCATTTGTAATGACATAATCTCGTACCACCGGTTTTTGTCCCAAAATTATTGACAGCGTGATAATTTAATTATTATTGAAAATCACAAAAGATGATAGATCAATTCATTTGAAGAGAATTGTAAGAATTATAGAAATTATCTTTTTTTTCAAACATATTTCATATCGTAACTTTCTAAAGTTTCTCAACGCTTTTGCTAACGCGGATAAAATGTGGCTAAAATACCATTAATATGCTGTACACTGATTATTATATAGTATTTACATATATTTTGACCATATTCTCTCTTACATCTTGTATTCTTAATTCAGATTTGTAAATACATTGACTGTTATAATTATTATGAAATCAAAAAGAGAATAAGGTCATACTTAATTTTGAAATTCCAACCACGTGTTTACGTGCTTGACTCAATTAATGTTAAGAGTGAATTGTTATAATTGCTACTTCCCAACATGCGAAATTATCAATTTCTTTTCACTTAATTAATTTTTAAAAAAGCAAGAATTTCTGTCCCGAGGCTATGATTAGCAACAAAACTATCCTCTTAGAATTACAAAGCATACCTGAAATTACAAACGTATTGTTTTTCTAAAATTGACCAAAAATATTTTTTTAATTAAAACTAAAACCATTCTATTTAAACCATATTTCATCATGTATGTTATTAAATTACCTTTAATTGTAACTTCAAGGTTTTAATTCCTTAATTATCCGTAAGCACTTTAACTATAGAATAGGATGTATACTCAGTAAATAAATTGCAAAATTAATTTCTTTCTGGTTCGACCCAATGTTTCATTGCTTAATAAATCTACCTGTTTGATCATTGGAAACCGATATTTCCACGTTCACACGGTTATTACTTCTGGAGACGTCAACATTGATTTTCAGCAAGTCCCGCATGCCGATATCGATTTGTCTTCAAATCTGAAATATTGCTTAGAAATAAAGATATATGGCTTTTGCAACCAACTCATTTCCTTATTTCGGATAGTAACATGTGGTTTGAACAGTGCTCTCATCTCTGGTGTGCCAGATATTCGCAGCCATGTCTTCCCGGGAATGACCTTTATGCCTACATTTTCTAACATGACTATGGTTAGGTGTTTTACGGTATTCATACCAGTTTTTACATCTTGGAACATCACGTGCTTTGCCTAAGAGCATTCAAACAAATAATTTTCTAAACAGGTGTTGACTGGACGAAAGATAATTATTTCTTTTCTTTTTTACAGTCCTATATTTACCTGTTAAAATGATAAACATTGAACTGTTGCTGTCAAATTCACTAATGAACACATTTTTCTTTGAAATTGAGCTTACAATTTTCAGACAGCTAGGATACAAAAAAGAAGTATTTACAATCTTCGGATTTATTTGCCATCATGACGAGGCATTATTGGAGAGAAACTGTGTCATTACATCCATTTAACATAGCTTTAAGGGTAATTGTGAAATCATTACAATCAAATCAAAGCTACGGCTGCTGAAGTTCTTGTCAATAAAGTTACGGCGAATTTGTATGCAAGATCGATGTCATTAATGACCTATGGTATTGGTCAAGTATTGTTGATCAACAATTCAGGTTTTAATGTGATCAATTAACAAGTATGTAAAGCTATTAAAGTAAGATATTATGCCGAAAAGCTATTTAGGCTTGCTATGCGAATGTGTGCGCTTCTTTATGCGCCTTCTTAAGTAAAATCAATCAGCTTTATGATATGGTTTGGGTATATACAATGGACCAAAGTAATGTGATATGAGAATTTTGATTCATTCATGTTTTTATAAGATATTCTTTTCAGCCACCAGAGCTATATTCCGTTAAACGCTGAATTGATTGATTGTATTTCCATCAAGAAATGTGTAGAATCATGTGGAATAAAGATATGATCTTACTTTATTATTGTTGTTTTCCCAAGAAAAGACTATGTTCCGTATGTATTTTGTGGGGGGAAATCGATCATTTGAACCATTTGTGAAGATCATGTCCTACGCAGAATTGACAGCAAATCAGTAAAAAAATAGCAAATGAAATAGTCCATGTACGAAAACAGCATAATTATATCAACAATGTATAACGAATTCTTAATTTAACACCACCAAGTTTAACATTTTGACAGAATTCGTTAAATCGATATAGATTTGATACGTATTATTTTTACTCTGAAAATGAAAATGAGACTAAATACTTTATAGCATGAAATTTATAGAAAAATTTAGAGAATGTATATTAAATAAGAATGTTTTACTTCATAGCATGAAATTTATAGAAAAAAATTAAAAAATTGTAGACACGTACTGCAAGGTAATCATTACTTTTGGGTCGTGTCGTTTTGTTAATGTTGCCTCTGTTAAAAGATACACTTAAAATTCAAATTTGAAACGTTCATATAATAATATTTTCTTTTTTATTGCTTAAAATATAGCTTCAAAAATATTGTGAACATATGTTGTGTTTGTTTATGTACGTGCTACACGTTTTTCACATTTATTGGAGTTTTCTCTGAATAGAATCTTCACAGCATTTTATTTTTATGTGTAAGTTGTCATCGGCTAGTTTGTCTTCATTTTTTCATTTTTTTCATGTCACCATATATAGTAAGCCTTATCTCACACTTTTGAACATTTTTGCCAGCAATAGTATACACGACAACTGCATGATTTAATAGAAAACATTTGGTCGGAGCGAACATTCCGAGCATATGAAAACACTCATTATCCTGCTAGAAAGAAATATTTTGATCAAAATGAAACCAATATCGGAAGATATTCTTCGTTTATATTTATTCTATTTCAAATGTTTTGTATGTTGACCACATTGTATTCATTAAGAAGCTAAGAAGCAAATGATGGCACTTCGTACTAAAACGTCACGATGGCACTCGCGACAATATAAATCCTGTATTTAAACAAAAATAAAAGAAGCGATATCTTATGACAAGCAATGCTCAAAAATAAATATCTTTGCAAAAAAAGTATACAAATTCACAAATGTAAAATGTAAACGATCATAACTTCACATAAAAGTAAAACCAAAAAAAACCTGTGAAAGCAGCTGGTGCTTTTGTAGTTGTTTTTTCTAACTAAATGGAAAGATCCAATATTCTCCATCACATTTAAAACTGTAATTGAATGAATTTCCCCCGACGTACTAAAACATTGCTCTTTTATGTAGATGTAATAAAATATTACTGAACATAGGTAGGTACGTAGGTCAATGACGATACAGAACCTACCTACCTACCTACCTAGAAATAATTATAAAGTAAAATAACACAAAGTTATTAAGTAAAAAAAAAGAAGTATACATATAAAATAACAGTGGGACAAGTAAATGGTTTGTTAAAAGTAAAAGCTGTATGTACCTGTCATGTGAGATATGCTCAATTTGGCTTTATTAAATTTGTAAAGTGTGAGCAATGAAACAAATTTAGGGGATAGGATGTTCCCATGAAAGATTGTTCTTGGAAAGAATAGGAATTTATAGTAGTCTTTCTGGCTGGGATTAATCTATAGCTCAGCATGTAGGCATGTCGGAAAAAAATTCAGAAAAATATTTTATTGAACCAAGTATAAAGTAATGTATATAATTATTATATAATTATAGCATTGCTGCAAAGTAAGTAATGAGCTTTATAAGCCAGTAGTTATTTTTTTGTGCGTGTTGTTGTTGTTATTATTATTATTATTATTATTTCATAATTTTTAATCATGACTATTAGAACTTTCATTTCAATAATTTTCAGTGAAAAGACGTATAAAGTCCCCGCGAGTGGTTTTGGCATTTGCGGAAGATAGAAAGAAGTGTGGTATTTCTTAATTTAGTAAGTATGTGTGTCTATCTTCACCTGATTTATGAACATTTCGGACCAAATACTTCGGAACAGATTTTTGGATACTACGGACCATTAAAATATTAATATGGACACTATCGATCTACACCATATTTTTTCTAATCTTAATACCACTTAGTCCTGTGCGTTTTATAGCTGGTGTTGGTACTGTTAAGCTTAATAATATTAATCTATAATAAAAGTATCTGGTATCGTGGTCTTTAATTTTTATTGTTTAAAAATAATTGCATTATTTCAAAAACAAATCTTATTTTCGAAGCAGCAATCTTATTTTCGCGAAAATAGCTTATTTTCGGTATCAATCTATAAAGCATTCACAATTTACTAAAATTTTATTACGAAAAACTGAAAAGGAAATAAACTGTTGTTGTTTCACAGACAGTACATGAAATTAATTAAGTGTTTTAGAAAGCATTTATGAAGCTGGATTGGTCTTGCCTAGATGGCTGAAAAGTAACTGTGTACAGCTACTTCATTTCTTTTTAATTTCTATCAACCAAAAACGGTGTCCGTGTCCTTTTTCTTTCTATCCTATTTTATTTCTCTTTTGTCTTTTTTCTTGCGTACCGTTTAAGAAATGTCCAGTCTGACAGTTAAACCAGAGACATAGATAACATGTTATCTATGTCTCTGGTTAAACGTATGAAGATTTAGAAAGTCCTTTTCTTTTTGCTGTTTACTTTCTATGTTTTTGGTAAAATATTTTCTTTGGGTTGATTCTTGTTTACGTTGGGATATTTCGGATAATATCGTTGAAGTGAAGAAAAAAACTTGAAAAATATCTTCAATAATTTCATTGTTTTCCTGTATTTTGTTGATTCTATCATGGTTCAGACTCTGTGATATTTAAACTTAGAAATTGCGCTTTATTTTGAAATGTCTAACTACGAGCAGTTTTTAAAATCGTCGCTAAACAAGGTTTGTTATGATTTGTGTTATTTTGTCAACTGAGGATGAATCATAAATTTCTCAATAATCTAAGACGATTCATATATATAATTATAATGTAATGTTTACTTATCCGGCCCTATTTATCAGTATATTTATATTTTAATATAAGAAACAAACCTTAACATAGAAGACCAGTTTTCTTCTGGATATATCAATTTGAGTTTCTAAATCATTTTGATCAGTTTTTCAAAAGGGTCTAATAAATCTGTATTAGGTTAGGTATTTTTGAAAAAAAATTGTAAGGCTAGCATCAAAAATGTAAATAAGTAAGCTGTATACAGTATGTGACACACGGCTTTAACTGTTTGTCACGGTTCAAAATTGTAAACTATTTAGAGGAGATAATGATGTGTAAGCGAATAGCTCAGTTAGTAGAGCAGCGTAATGGTATTCCGAGGGTCCCTGGTTCGTTTGCCTATCAGGCTGCACATTTTTCTCATTTGCCACCCAGCCTGAGTGTAATTCACATTGCTTTGTTACGTTTGTAAACCTGAGAAATTCAAGGACGAATTTCAATACAGCGGGGAATTAATATTATGTATTAATACTAAACTGTTTGCTACATGTATCAAGTGGAGATGATGAGTAAGCAGCTGAATAGCTTAGTTGGAAGATCTGTGAACCTGTATTCCAATGGTTCTGGATTCAGGCTGCACATCTTTTTCACCCTAGGACACCTTCACTAGCAACCAATGTCATATGGTCCTCCTTAAATGTATGAAATGGCTGTTTATGCCTTTATAGGACATAAACAAATGTCTTGACAATATGAATAACCAAAGATCAACAATTTCTGGTGTAGACTGTAGAAATATATTTATCAAACTTTCAGTGTGCATTGTCTTGGAAGTTTGTAAGACTAAGGACCGACATGCAATTTATGAATAAGAATTAAATACTTAGTTGTTACGATGAATAAGTGATGAAATGGGAGTGATAAGGGATGGTGGCTTGTATATCGGTCTGTAAAGAAATATAGCATAAATAACAAACAAATAGACAAGATATACATGTACAAATACTAGGTCAAAATGATAAATAAAATGATATTGGTAATACAAATGTTGACCACATGACATGTTGACTATATGACCCTCCTATAAAAGAATTAACTAAATTTTACAGTGTTGTTATAGATGTTATGCCCAATACGATGATTTTCACAATTTCAGTACAAAACCCCAGATGTTACAAAGCGTGATGTTCTTAGTGTCTTCACCACATTCAGTGACTTGAGACCAAAGTTAGATGACTTTGGTAAGTAAACACAGTATTGTTTTTTTTCACCCCTTAGGATGTTTCAGGTGAGTCTGTTTGACAGTGTTGGAAATAAATAAGTTGCAAGAACAGCCAAATCACAAAATGAAATACCACTTTCGGAAAAATTACAAAATAAATTGAAACAGGTCATTTTTTAAAACAAAAAAAGCTTTGATAGGTTAATAGTACTGATCATATGCATTAGTAAAAGAGAGTTTAAACTTTTAAAGAATGTCTCTCAATTTAAAGCTTACAAGTAAAACTTTAAGACACAACCACAAAGGTAATGAAACATTGTAATTGTTAGCTTTGAAGTTTGTAATGTATTTACATGTATACTCAGTCATCTGTGGTGCTCTAGAATCAGATGTGTCTTTACTGACAATTATGTACATAATGAAAACTATGTACATAATGAATAGTAACATCAGCCTGTAACACATATATGTACATGAACTTAGACTTTAATTACAAGAAATTTATTTCGTTGATGAGAATGAATGAGACACAGTGACATATTAAGTTTGTGTTAAAAAAACTTGCAAATAAATGGAATACATGCCACTTTAAAGACACAATAAAATTGATTTGTCATTTACATGTTTATAATAATATTAATAAACAATCTAGTATCATCCCTGTTTCTTATTGTTTATTGAAATAATGTGCAGTTTATGATTCTTTTTAGATTACCATGATATTTTTATCTTTCAGTGTTTAATGATGGTACAAGGAAATCCTTATTACAGTTAGATGGAACTATACCAGTTAATTATAAAGGTACTGTACCAGCCTGTTTGTTTTCAGATGGAAGTCATTTACTTTTTCATTCCTGATATATAAGTTATATAGTTTGATAATTTTGAATATTCAGATTGGGTCATTCAGTATGATCAGAAATTTTGTAAAGTAAACTGAAAGAAAAATGATAATAATATAAATTATAATATATATATAAACAAAACAATGGTGCATGAAATTTTGTACTTGATTTATTTGAAAACCATCAAAAGTTACTAATTAACAAATGAATGTTTATATAAATAAAAGTTGATAAATATGACCTAGATCTTGCACCAGTTGTAAATTCATAACTTTAGGACCAACTGTCAAGAGCAGTTTTGATGTTATTTTCATGATACAGTTCAAACTTAATCTGAAGAATCTTGAAAGTAAAGTGTTGTTTAAATGATACAGGGGCAGTGTATAATATACCAATATGTATATGGATTATGGACACTCATCCATACAACCCCCCTATGGTGTTTGTAAAACCAACACCCACAATGCAGATCAAGTCGGGCAGGAACGTAGATATGAACGGAAAAATTGATCTGCCTTATCTTAGAGAATGGAAATATGTAAGTAACAAAATTAATGATAAATGATGTATTGAGTTCAAATTTGTTTGTTTTATTGGATCTTAAGTGACACCAGTTACTATAAAGAATAGATCATACGGCTTCCATTCCTGACAGACCCAAAGATTGCAGATGGAGTGATTTGAAGTTGGAGACTTGAACCACTCGGCGTAGGAGATCCCCAATTGAATACAAGTCTTTACAACAATAAGTCATACAAAAAGTTTAAAGGTTAAGTGGTGACGTTCCAGCTATATAAGTTACAGATTACCTCAGGTGACCTTTGTGCATTATTGCAAACACAGACCGGCACCATAGTAGAAGCAACATCTTTCTGTTTGCATTCTATGGTGAATTAATTCATAGTCCTTGATGGGATTCAAATTCAAAGGGGATGAGGACTTGAATTTACAACAAGAATAGAGTTGGGTCAGCATGTACCAGTAGATATTTGTATTTAGACAAATTTAATTATGAGTAGAATTAATATGGATAATTATAACTTCAAAAAAGAAGGTATAATAATTAGTGAGAGTAAAAAAGTGTTGGAGCACCACACTAAACACTGCATAGAGATTATACCAAACAATGAACTTGAATGATTGAATACTAAAATTTTGACTTTTCATCACCCAAAGTGAACTTTTACAATGTAATTCATCTCCTCTCACCACTTTCTATTCAATTATCATGAATGAAAATGTAAGAATCAAAATTGATATTTTTTACTTTGTATCAAGCATCTAGAGGTACTGCTCCAACACTTTAGTAAGTTAAATCCTTAAGTAATATCCAACAAATGTTCTCCATTTGCAGTTTTCTAAAATTATTGCCGATTGGTTCCTTTTGTTGTGATTTTTTTCTCGTAGTGATTACATGTATTATGTAAACAATGAAGTTGTTACACAGTGGTAATTTATTGCAGCCAAATTCAGACCTGATTGGAATGATACAGATATTAACAATAGTATTTGGCGAGGAACCCCCTGTGTACTCGAGACAACAACAACAACAAGCGCCCCCTATCCGCTACCCAAACCAAACACCATACCCACCAGCTGGTCAGTATCATGACTTCTTCTTTCATTATCATCTGCTGCAGTTATAAGTTTACATTACTGAATTAACATTTTCACAGTCAATTTGATTCTGAAAAAAACATTATTTGATTTCATATACTACGTATGTAAAAGGAAAACATGTCATTCAAGATAAGTCGTGTGAAATGGACAACATCACCTTATGTGGCAAGTGGTCTCTAAAAAAAGATATTTATCTTTATAATGCTTTTAAGTGTATATTTGAAAATTAAAGGTTGTTATTTAAGTGACTTTTTTCACTCATAATTGACTGTACAATTATCACAGGTTTGATTGACTGTATGTTTATCACAGGTTTAACATCTTCCTTTCAGGAAACAGTTCATTCCCAATGCCAATGCCTGGAATGGGTGGAACAAGTAACACACCCTATCCATCAAATACCCCGTACCCATCCTCAAATGTTGGCTACCCACAAACTAGTAGCTACCCTGGACAATATGCAGGTGAGAATACACTTTACTATAGTGAAGGGATTTTGTAAATAAATTTTGAGGGTCGAAACAGATATTTATAGACATTTTATTTGTTATAGGCACTTATTGTTTGTGAATACATAGTTTTATGTGAAATTTTCACTGAAGGTTAATTAAAGAGCACTTTTGATAAAGATTATATTGTTTATCTTATGTGTAGTAACCTAGATATGGTGGAAGTCTACAAATATACTATATAATAGGGATCAACCATTATATGAGGTGGTAAAGTAGATATTGTCTGTTTGATCATAAGTGATCCATAAATCATAGGATTTGTGATTTAGTGCAGTAGTGAGCGGCTGAGGTCAGTTGAAACTGGATTGGCAAGTTTATCTGAGTTTACACATGCTAGGATGGTATATCTATTTATATGCCCTTATGTAGTAACTACATTTGACTTGTTATCCTTCTCTAATCAATTTCTTGAAAATGTTTAAGCTAATACATGTATTTATATAAGTTGTAAAGACATTGCCCATGAACTGAAGATCTCTTATGATTTTGAGGTCAAAGGTCAAGGTCACAGTGACACTGTATTATCTTATCTGATAAATGAATTGAGAAGAAAATAAACTTAGTAGGGGCAATTACCATGGTCAGTAAATACATTGTAAGCCCTGTTGATTTTGAGGACATTAGGTCATTAGTCAAGCTCACAGTGAAACTTAGTGTAATATCAATGTCCAATCAATATCTTGAGAGAAAAAACACTTGATAGGGTTCTTGCTGTGGCCAGTAGATGACCACAAATGATTACAGTTCATTAGATCAAAGTCACAATTACACTTGATTTGAAATCATTGTCTATTAATAACTAGAGTTTCTTCAGTTAGTTCTTGAAAGTTAGTCAAGTTTATTATAAAAATGACCTTTATGAATGTAAATAAGCCACTGTGACAGGCAATTAAATTGTGGGCATTGGTGTCCTATTGACAAATATATATAATGCTTACATGCTCTTTTTTCATCTTTTACCTTAATATACACATAAATATTTCAGGATATCAACCACCAACTACTGGTTTCCAAGGTTACCCTAACTATTCAGGAGCACCAGCTTCATCTGGGTACCCAGGAGCAAACAATCCCCCTGCATATAGTCAATCACAAGCTACAAATTACCAATCTACATCTTCAAGTAAGTGTTTAACTTGGAACACTGTATTATAAATGTACTTAAACATTTTGCTATGTCTGCAACTCTGCATTGAGTTCCATGGGCAAAAGTAGTAATCTTATATTTTATGTGAAGCAAGCAAATTGACAGAAAATATTGCATTTTTTGTTGAACTGGGTCAAATATGTTTAACGTTCACATGGCTGCACATTACTAAATATTCAGAATACGTTGATACTAGAGATGCGGCAATAATACAAATGTACAGGGACTTCGAGTATATGATGTTTACCTTTGATCAGATTTTCAGTAAGGCAGACACTGTAAAATGTTTGTATGGTAATGTACCAGTTTTGATACCGGAGGAAGAAAAACCAGTAGCCTGTAGGCAGTGTTATGTTGGTTAAATTTTCAAGTTTTATTAGTAATCAACAGTAGACTATCTTTGATTATATATGCCAGATTTGAATTTATTATACTTAATATTTTTTGCAGTTTTTATGGAAAGAAAGAAGTTGTAATTTAGAATGGTCCACTTTGGTTCTGTTGTGTTTAAATATTTCATAAAATCATCTAAATAAAAAAAACTTATTTTCATCTATTTATTTTACTGTTAAAAATTGTTGCATTTTTATAGCACACATGGCCATAAAAGTTTATGTAGGTCAGCAAAATCAAGGTGTATCTGCTATGTTTGTTGGTGGCACAATGTTCGCAAATAAGCACAGAGATATAGCAGATTGTTATCACTGTGTACCTGATTATTATATATTTTGCCCTGACATTACAGCAGCATCAAATTACAGTGGAGGAGGTGGTACTAATACAGTGACAGAGGAACATTTAAAGGCATCGCTGTTGTCAGCAGTTGAGGACAAAATAAAATGGAGGCTGAAGGAGACATTTGCTCAAGCACAGGTCATATATGTTTGCTTACTGTAGTCTACATTTGTTCATTCATTAACACTTTCATTTCAATTACTAAATGTTATGTTTGCCCTTAATTATTATATCTGCGTAACCCATTGTCTGCTGGCAGCAATATATGTTACCCATGTGACCAGTATGACCCAGGATCAGCGGACACATCCATACTGTCTAATCATATTCTGTTCATGTGAATGTAAAAGAATTATTTTACAATATTCACCGAAGAATGATTTTTCCTTGATTTTAACTTGCCATCTGAACATCAATTACCACAGGCTTTAAAAGTCAGGCCATGAAGAGTGGCTGCATAAGTGAAAAACAAGATTATTCAACCATATCTTTTTAGCTCACCTGTCACAAAGTGACAGGGTGAACTTTTGTGATCGCTTTTCGTCCGTCCGTAAACTTTTGCTTTAAATGACATCTCCTCATAAACCACTGAGCCAATTTCATCCAAACTTCACAGGAATGTTCCTTTGGTGGTCACCTTTAAAAATTGTTCAAAGAATTTAATTCCATGCAGAACTCTGGTTGCCATGGCAACCAAAAGAAAAAACTTTAAATATCTTCTTTTAAAGAACCTAAAAAGCTAGAGCTTAGATATTTGGCATGAAACATCTTCTAGTGAGTGTCTACCAAGTTTGTTCAAATAAAAGCCCTGGGTTCAAAATTGGCCCCGCCCCTGGGGGTCATTGATTTTCCCTATATGCATATAGTAAAAACTTAAAAAGTCTTCTTTTAAAGAACCGTAAGAGCTAGAGCTTAGATATTTGGCATGAAACATCTTCTAGTGAATTTCTACCAAGTTTGTTCAAATAAAAGCCCTGGGGTCAAAATTGGCCCCGCCCCAGGGGGTCATTGATTTTCCCTATATGCATATAGTAAAAACTTAAAAAATCTTCTTTTAAAGAACCCAAAGAGCTAGAGCTAAGATATTAAGCATGAAACATCTTCTAGTGAGTGTCTACCAAGTTTGTTCAAATTAAAGCCCTGGGGTCAAAATTGGCCCCGCCCCGGAGGTCATTGATTTTCCCTATATGCATATAGTAAAAACTTAAAAAATCTTCTTTTAAAGAACCATAAGAGCTAGAGCTTAGATATTTGGCATGAAACATCTTCTAGTGAATGTCTACCAAGTTTGTTCAAATAAAAGCCCTGGGGTCAAAATTGACCCCGCCCCAGGGGGTCATAGATTTTCCCTATATGCATATAGTAAAACCTTAAAAATCTTCTTTTAAAGAACCCAAAGAGCTAGAGCTAAGATATTTAGCATGAAACATCTTCTAGTGAGTGTCTACCAAGTTTGTTCAAATAAAAGCCCTGGGGTCAAAATTGGCCCCGCCCCAGGGGGTCATTTATTTTCACTATATGCATATAGTAAAAACTTATAAAATCTTCTTTTAAAGAACTCAAGGAGCTAGAGCTAAGATATTTAGCATGAAACATGTTGTTATGGGTGTCTACCAAGTATGTTCAAATAAAAGCCCTGGGGTCAAAACTGGCCCTGCCCGGGGGGGTCATTGATTTTCCTTATATGTGTATAGCAAAAACTTAAAAATCTTCTTTGGAAAAACCCAAATAGCTAGAGTTTAGATATTAAGCATGAAACATCTTTAAGTAAATATCTACAAAGATTGTTAAAATAAAAGCCCAGGGGTCAAAACTGGCCCTGCCCCAGGGGTGTCATTGTTTTTAACTATATGTGTATAGTAAAAACTTTAAAAATCTTCTTTTAAAAAAGCCAATGAGCTAGAACTTAGATGTTTAGCATGAAACATCTTCTTATGAGTGTCTACCAAGTCTGTTAAATAAACAAATAAAAGCCCTTGGGTAAAAATTGGCCCGGGGGTGGGGGGGCCTATATACAGGTGAGCGACCTCAGGGCCATCATGGCCCTCTTGTTTCATTTAAGATCTCTCTGTCATGTTTTAGATCATGCAGAGTTTATATAAATCCTTTGAAACATTGTTCCTTTAGTGAATGTCTTTAAGCTGCTTGTGGCATCTGAATATATCCATGTGACAACTGCAGACCAAGATCAGCTCGCACATCCTAGTTGTCTGATCATGACATACACTGTTCAATATTTTGTTGTTCCCTTAAACGATGAATGGTTTTATCCAAATGAAAGATGGACTGGTCCATTTATGATATTTAGTGTGTTAAGGATTAAATTAACAAAAAAAATGTTTCAGATTCATAGCAAAGTATGGGTAGAGTCACACAATTTATGCGGTAAAATTCTCGTTTAACTAGTTGGGCATTTAATAAAAATATTTTTTGTACTTTTAGGCTGAAATGGATGTTTTGTATAAAACACAGGCAGACTTGCTGAAGGGTAAAGATAAACTGGAAACAATGATCAAAGATTTGGAAAAAGAAAAGGTTTGTATGTTATTGTTATATATGAAATACAACATTCATGGCTTCAAATTATATACACCTGCATTGATGAATAGAATAGAGCTTGGGGAAATCTGTTTTTGCCCAATCTTGGCCATATCATTTATATTCTATGCACTAAAGCCTTCAGTCTTGATCTGGACAAGAGCTTCTATTTAATTTATTAAAGTATAACCTTGACTTTAAAAAGACCTTTACTGTCATTACAATATTAAATTGAGTAAAACTTGAATTGTTCATTAATTATACAGATTTTTGATTAGAGAACTTTATATTTGACAAAGCCTTACCCTGTTGAAGTTGAAAGTGATAAGCATTTAGAACCAGGCAAGCCTGAACATTGGTGCAGTCTGAATAGACTTTATACTGTTGTCTGATTAATTTCATCTTAATATCTCCAAGTTCCAAAATATGGAAGTAATTCAACTTCTTTTAAGAAATTCAGGTTTAGACTTGTGACTGTTGATTGAAGCTTGATAAAATTGAAGTGAGGGTATTATAAACACATTATTTTAAGGATTGTCACAAAACCAATATGCCAAATTGTTATATAAAGAAATTGATTATATCTGCCAAAGTAAATGATAAGTATTTACATTCATGAAATTTTATGTATTACAGGCATTCGTAATTCTATTTAATTTTTCACTTACGTGAATATTATTTTACAGTCGGAGATAGGAGCAAATATCATTTTATTGAAACAGAAGGACGGTGAAGTTAAAGAGACATTATCTCGCCTGGAGAACCAAGAGCAGATAAATATTGATGATGCTGTTGTTACTACTGCACCACTTTATAGACAGTAAGTATTGGTTTAACTGTGTATTTAATCTCTGACTTTACTTACCTCAATCATCAGGTTTGTAATGCCACTGGTTCAATCATCAGGGGATGCAAAATTTCTCTATGACCACACATTGAATCTATTGCTCATTTCTCTCTCACACTCACAGCTGATTCAGAAATCATGTGGGATTAGTAGTTGGTAACTTGGTTAAATTTGTAATTACTGGCTATTTATCCAGGGAAACTGGTTTGGTGGACCAACTGTAGAGATAGGAACAAAAATGTGTTAAAATTGGTATAAAAACCAGATTAACAAATAAACAACAATTAATCAGATTAATTAATTAGATTGTCTGTTGTTAAAGGTGTTTGCTTGTCAATCAAAGTTGTGGATGGGATCCCTACTCTGGCCTCACCAGTACTGAGTCATTCTTGGAAATGAGCTTGAGATGTATTCAAATTGAAGTCACCAAAGTTTTTGTCACAATTGAGCATCAATAAATTTTTTCAAACAATATTTTCTATGTTAAAGATGCAAGCCTCCAGATGAATTAACAATTTGTCAAGAAATATTTAAGTGTATAAAGAATAATAATACAGTCTAAGAAATGTATAAAAATTCAAATGCCAAATTACAGTATGTTTGTGTTATATTGGAAATAACATTTTTGAAAATCATAATTCTACTTCATTACTGTAAGGGAGGACTATTCCTGGATATTTCAATACTTCATAGGTATTTTCCTATGAATAATACATGCAACTATTTAGAACAGCTTAAAACCTTTTCATTTGACATAAATGAACATGAATCTGGAGGCAATTACTTTAAATTTGCAAATAATCTACATATCTCGATTGATATTAACCCTTAACATGCTGAATATTTTAAATTGACTTGTATGACTTCTATTTTTGGGACTGTCCAATATCAATTTGAATATTTAACACTTGTTAGCCAACAGTATAGACCTGGTCAGACTGCACGTATGTGCAGACTGGCCTGGCTCTATACTGTTGGCAAAGGCGTAACGCTTTCAGTTCCAGCATTTTAAGGGTTAAAATACTAGTAGATGCAATTTTATGATCATGAACCAAGTAAAAATAATGTTATCATTTATCTAACAGATTATTGAAAGCATTTGCAGAAGAGCAAGCCATAGAAGATGCTATCTACTATCTAAGTGAAGCGTTACGGAAAGATGTGATAGATCTAGAAGTCTTTTTGAAGGTTTGTAAATCATTTATTAATATATTAATATAAATATTTTAACATCTTTGAGTGCTTATTAATGAGCAGCACATACCACTCTAAATGCTGTAAATGCCAGGGAAGACTGGTCACTGTATTATTTAGTATCCGATAAGGCATGTCTAGTAATTTCTGCCAGTCCCATCAATTAGCTTCTGGAAAATTTTCAATTTAGCTTATAGTTGCTCATTTGTCTTTTCATCCATTGTATTTAGAGTGTTTGGTTCCTTTGTTGAACCTCGACCCATATTGATAAGGTCAAAATCAAGGTCAGTGAGGCCAAGCATAGATTGTCTTACTCTTTATTATGCTATGGTTGTGAAACTTACATGATAGAGCACCCATGGGTGTTGAAAGATATGCTGTTCATGATATGATTTAATTTTCATTGAACGTTTGTTGTGGCCAATCAAATTTCTTACTTCTATATTGGCTAATAAACAGTTGCATACTCATAAAAGAGAGCTTCATAAGCAAAGTGGTTCAGGTTACAGATTTGATAAATCTCAAAACCTGCTGAGAATGATGAATTATCAGTGAAAACTTATTTCCCTGGGTTAACAGTATCATTCTAGTTTTACTTCTGTGATTTTAGTATGGTAAACATGTCAGACATAATTCATGGAGGGGTATCTAGGTACATGTATCTCTTCACTAGTTTAGTTTGAATATGCCCATAATTTGAATATACAAAATTTCATGTATTTAACTGACTTAAAGGATAAGACATGAATTATAAAGTTAGGGAAAACAGAAATTGTATTAGCTTAAGGTCTTCAGCATACCCGTTTATATACTATGACATGACGTGAATGCTGAAGACAGACCCGTAGGGAAAGTCCACCAATAATCATGCCAGGAATCTGACACGCTCGTATTCATTCTTCGAACATGCCATGAAGTAAAGAGAAGCATACCTTGATAAAACTATATATAATCTGTTGATAAGCCAAGGATGGACAAATAAAAATCTTATTATGAACGTAAACTACCTAATAGTTTCCGACAGGTAAAAATTTCAGCACTTGGCCGCTATATTGCCAAAATGTTTGACCATGTGATTACGAGATTGACCTTTACGAACCTATGTGCTTCCAACGTTTTTATAAATTACTTTTTTCAAGATATTGAAAAACGTGATTTACTGACTTTTGTATTAAATATAATCATATTTAAGTACTAAAAAATTAAAGATAATACAAAAAATATTATCTTGAATTATGAATATTGAAATCATGTCAACAAAGATGTTCTAAATATAGTACATGACTCTACTTAAATCGGTTCCCTCTAATGACCTCATACGAGGTCTCACATAGCTCCTAAATGTCATGGCCGACTGTAGTCGGCGTAATTGATGTTTTACATTTAAATAGGCAATTTTAATGACGGTATTAATATCTTGGTACTTTAAATGGTATAGAACGATATTAAAATAATTGTTTTATAGCAAAATGCACAAGAATTGATTTGGACAAGGGTATTTGCAAGTGAAAAATTAGGTTAAATCAACTTATGTTATTCTTGTATGGTTTCTTAACTGGTCTTATCCAAAACTGTAATGCGGCATCAGATGAAAAACAAAAATATTAAAAAGCGGCTTATAAAGTTTTGGAAGCCAGAACTAAAATTGTATATAATTATCTTCAGTACTGGGGAAAAAATACAGATATCAGAGTTTTTTTGTTATTCAATCAAAATATTTAAGAATTAGTTGAGAATACATTAGCAAAGAAATGTTAATCAATATAAGCATTTTATTTGCAGAGAGTTCGAGAGTTGTCAAGGAAACAGTTCATGTTACGAGCGTTGATACAAAAATGTCGGGAGAAGGCTGGATTACCTCCCTTGGCATGAGTGTAGAAATATTAACTAGACTATATTATGATGTTGATCACATATACAAGAGTGTGATATTTGTTGACCAAAAATTACCCAAGACTTGACAACACCTGTGACATGTTTATATATAAATAGTATACATGTATCTGATAATTGATTTCACTATTGGGACAGGAATAAAAGCAATGGGAGTGGGGCTGGATGTATTTTATTTTTTGTTAATGATTACGTGTGTCATTTAAATGATTTGTTTTATATACAAATCTTCTGTTTGAAAAGTTTAAATGTTTTATTTTATAAACATATAAATATTAGTTGAATTGAAAAATTTAGGGTTTCTTTTTTTTCGTAAGATACCCATAATTATGTTTTCTTTACCAGTGAAAAAAAATAAATTTATTTTCAAAATGTATTCTTGGTAAAAAAATATAACAGTACAAAATCTTTATTGATAATATATCTCAAGTTATCCCCTTACCTGTTAGAAGGAAAGTAATTAACCTTTGCCACCAGTATAGAGCCAGACCAACCTGTACATCCTTGCAGTCTTACCAGGCTCCATACTATTGGTTAACTTTAAATTTTCATCTTGATCTCCCCAAATTTGATAATGGACTGTTCAAAAAATGGAAGCTGGATAAGTCCATTTAAGAAATTCCAGTTAAGTGATTATGTTAGGGATGCTGTGCATGTTGCTTTTTGTGGGCATATTATTATTGTAAATGTGCTCCCTTTTCTCACTGCATATAAACATGTAAATATGCTAGTCTTTTATTTTAATTTTTGTTTCAAATTTCATTATACTTTTTATATAGGAGGACATTAAATTTCTAGAGGGTAGAGAAATAACATAGGTAACAATGTCTATTTTGGGTGCTTTCTTACATCACAAGTTTTAGAAAATTTGTGGTATTATCTTCAAGTATTACACAATGTAAGATGCATGTCAGAAATCAGTATAGAACTATGAAATACATGTATATATGGTGGTCTACCAAGTTTTTAGTTGCATCTGGTCAATCTATAGTTTCTTATGACATTTAAACAAAGTGCTACTTCCACCTAAATTTAAAATAAATTTGATATAACATTATATCAAAATCATCTATAATTGGAAGATTTTCATAGCCCATCTTGCGGGTTCTTATTTCAACGTGTAGTAAAATGTAGTAGCCCTCAATATTACAGGACAATTATATTTCAAATTTTATTTTATTTTTTTATGAAGGATTGGTATGTTAATAATTGTATGAATATCTAAATTAACTACTATTCATGTATTTTGCATGAATAAATGATTAATATCATATACATTTGTAACAGTCTCTTATTTTTAAGAGGTTTGATGATTTTTGGTTAGTGGTACTTAATTTGTTACTGAGATAATGTAGTAGATTTCTTTTTCAAATGGTATAGTTGTTATGGAAGGTATATTTGCCATCAAAATGTCTGCACTTTTTTGTTCGTACTATTTTTACCCCCAAAAACTTTCTGTGTATGTATACTAAATGAAGATGTTATTGTTAATTTATGTGTATATATTAAAATTTTTATAACAAATTTGTGTATGTGTTCTGTAAATGATGGTAAATACATATATTTAAGCAATAAGCCCTGCTGGTCATTATGAATCAGATCTCTATTATCTTTCAGTTTGTTCGCTGGTTTTAATTCCAATTTAAAACATGTTTTAGTCATACCTTGGTGGACGATCCACCTAACTGGGTTTCCTGGATAACTAACTACATGTAGTAGTTTCCAATTTCTCCGAAAGTGACCAACTTCTGTGACATGATTTCTGAATCAGTGGTATGGGAAATTAAACCATTGGTCTCAATGACCTAGATCAATTGTCCCAGAGAAATTACACCTCACCAAGGACCTCTTGATTATCTAGCCAATGTTTCCCCAATGAGCTAAGCTGATAAACTGTATAGATTATAGTACTTGCTTGTAGCAAAATATCCAATGAAATGATATTGCATCACTGAAATACTGCAAGCCCATTGCTATCACATACCATTAACTCACATTCCTGGCTTCCTGAAGTTGCAAAAAACTTGACCATACCAAATATAGTTAAGGGAAGCTGTCCTACTCACCTTGGTGTCTGTCTCCAGATTTTTTAGTGAAATTTCTCGAAGGATTTTCTTCAGACTTCAAATATGAACCCCTTATTATCACCAACAAGTGACAAGGTACTTAACTATAGCACTAATGTTTCAAAAGTTATCAACCTATCAAACATAAAATTTCCTTATTCGTTTTTCAACTGTAACTTTCTTATTTCTTGAGTTATCTTTATTTCTTGAGTTATTCACTCCAAATATATGTTCCTTGTCAACATATTAGGTTCGTATCTCTAGAATCAGTATTTCCAGAATTATCTCCAATTAAACATAAAATTTTCTTAAAGAATATTTAATTTAAACTATAACTTCCTTATTTCTGGAGGTATTCACTTTATCTTTTAATATATGTGTCTTATCATCCTATTAAAATTGTACTTCTTTTTTTACTCCAACTTTTCTTTCATCTTAGATTTTCTTCAAAGTTTAATTCATTTTATGTTTTTAACAACACCTACATCTTTGTTGCCAATGGCATCTACTAAAGACTTCACATGTTTGACTAGGTATGACAGTTTACTTCTTGCCATATTTGTTACGGAAGGGATTTACTTAAGATTTTGTTTCAAAATTTCTAATATTTTCCGTTTTCCTTTTATTGACATGGTCAGGTACATGTTATGTTTTTGGGAAGAAGTTGAACATCTTGGAGCTTTCTTGGTAATGATACAGAAATATATTTATATCATAAATTGTTTTTCTCATTGTGTCTGTCTCTACTGTGTCCAGTATTTAAAAGTTGAAATCTGCTGTCTTATCAGGGATCACATCTTCATTCTTACACCTGTCCCTTCCAACAGACGAACCCAAAACTCGAGGTTTGGCAAGACATTGCTTGGAATATTGTTATACCAGAATCGAATAGGAAGTATATAAATTTTGGCAGCATGGGGGGATGGTTTCTGATAATCTAAGGATTTTGTTTGCTGCTGGGGTTATTGTCATCCCACTTATCTTCGAATATACTAGAAGGTACCCACACATGTAAAATGAACTCAATGGTACCCTAAAATACTGAGCACCCCCCCCCCCCCAAATACTAGTATGATATAACCTAAAGAAAAACTCCAGGGTTCTTGTAGTATTACCCGATACTAAAAAGTATTTCCATCATGGCATGTTTTCTCCAGTGTAGCAATTATACTTTAATGCCCGCTGGGTGCCTTCAAGTAGTATCCAAGGCGACAAAAACACCAACATCTCTAGCTGCACTGGTTCAAACCTGCCCAGGGCAAGCAGAAACTACTTTACATCACCTAATTTACATCACCAAAATGCAAGAGCCACATTTTCGTACGGGTAGATCAGGTGTTTGACAAGCCCAAAAGTGCTCGAAAGTGGAAAATAAGATTACCAAATAACAAAGTTATGGACTGGACACGAAAGTGTGACGGACAGACAGACGGACGGAGCCTATTTCTATATCCCCCTTTTTTCTTCGAAAAGGCAAGATTAGTTGTTCCATTTGAAATTCATTTCAATTCATTTCATTTTCAGAAACCAAGGTGTTTTGCTACTTATTTTTCACAGGCCACTTTGGCTAGTTACTTGGAAATTTTACAAGATGGTAACACAAAATAAACAATATTCAACATACAAATTCTTTAATTCCTCAAACAAATTTTTGTTTAAATATCAACTCTTACATTTTTGTCAATTTCTCAAAATGAAGTCTATAAAAAGTTCCATGTTCACTTTTAATGAAGAAATTATTCTGGCATCGAAATCCAAAACCAAACATGGTATGAACTTTCTGTGATGAAAATTGAAATAATTTCGTATTTGTAAACATAATATTAAACTATGTTATCATCATAAAACAACTACAGTTAGTGAGTTCTCCGTTATTTAAATAGATGCTGTGGCCGACAAGCCCTTCAATGTGCGAATACAGCTTGCAATGCTGTCTTTCTCCTTGCTGTGGTGTGATTCCTTTCTTCACACTGTTCACAATCCAGTTTACCATATGGGTCTGCTCAAAAGATCGAACTGTGTGTTCCAAATCTGCCTGGTACTCCTGTAAAATAATTTTTCATGATTTAAATTTCTAATCATAATGTATTTCCATTTCATTAAGTCAACAGTGAAAAAAACCTGGTTAAACCAAGAGGAATTAACATCTGCCACCAGTATAGAACATCAGTGCAGTCTGGTCGAGTTCTATACTGTTAGCTGACTAACTTCAATCTCCATTTAAAGGACTGTTAAAAAATTGGAAGGTGGTCAAGTACATTTCATATATTCTGCACATTAAGGGTTTGTCAAGTAATAAAGTACAATTCAATATCAAAAGAGGGACATGCTTATATATCAGAAGTATAGAGGTGAAGAAGATTTAAACAGTTATCAGAGGATACAACATCTAGTGTTTGAAATAGATATTGTACATGTATATTTTGCAAGTTACAGCTTTAAGGTTTCCATTAAAGTTAACTTGGCAATTTTTGGTCTGGCTTAAGACAGAAATTTGTTTTTTAATCCAAAAGGTATTGGGAGCTATGTTAAGATGGATTAAATGTTATTCAATATAATATGAGGGGGAAATTATTGTAAAGAACATACCAGACGATTTCTGACTGTAGCATAAACATTAGCCAATCGTTCCCTGTATTCTGCTTCTAGCTGTAGATCAACTTGTTCCTGAAACCAAAAATATTTATTAATACATTCTAGCAAAACCTCAAGATCATAACAGAGCCTGAAATAATTTATAACTTGTTAATAAGAAATAAAACTAGAACTGTGTTCTAAGGGCACGGATGCCCCCACTGACAACATATATATGGTATATAGTGAAAAAATCAACAAAGGGCCATAATTCTGTTAAATTTGGTTGCAGCAAAAATTCCTTTCTTAACTACCATCTACACATTAAGGTTGTTCATTGCTGGAAGTTTAAGCAAAATCTGCCATCCGGTTTAAGAGGAGTTGCGTTCACAAGATTTCGGGACGTACAGACGGACGGACAAGTGCAACGCTATATGCTTACCACTTTGTGGGGACATAAAAAAATCATTGTCCATTGTAAATGTTTCATTTATGTAGTTTTACAGAATACAGTTTTCAACAAGCCTTTCATCTTATTTCTATGTTCTTTCAAGAGAAAGATAAACATGTTTTTGCATTTGAAAAAACAGCACACTTCTATCTTAAGTGTTCTACAGTACCGATAATTCAATGGCCAATCTTTTTTTCTACATTTACAAAGATGAATACTATGTGATTAAATTCTATTACTATGACCTTGATTAAAATATCTAATTACATATGGCCGCCGAGAATGTAACGTAAGAAATTTTGGATGTTTGTTTTTTTATTTTTCATGCAACTTAACAGCTTTCTGCCTGGATACTAACCAGTCAATTAATTTTCAATTTCTCCACAAAATGGACTATTTACTTTTCCAACTATAATTTCTGAATCAGCTACAAAAGACAAATGCCCCCATATAATTTCTGAATCAGCACAAAAGACAAAATGCCACTATCAGTCACCACAGATTTATATTTGAACCTGTCCCAACAGGATTGAACCAGCAGTTTTTTTGGATTTCAATGCTTATTGAGATAAGCTGGAAGCATTTTTAGATAGCTGATCATATGAAAACATAGCGCACTGAATCATACTATACAAATAAATAGCATTGGCCATATGACTATAAAATATATATTTTTTTGCGAAACTAAATTAGAATTTTCTACTCCTCACAAATGTGTAGATACACCTCTGAATTTTTTCCAACTTTTTCTTTCTAATACTAGATACATGATGATCCCTTTAAGATATGCATTTAGTGATTTATGAAAACGATAAACAATGAAAACAGATCATACCCGTTTAGCCTCAAAGATAGTTGGGATAGCTTCTTTTCTCTCAAATTTCAAGTATTGATTAGTAAGTTCAGTTTTGTAGCCCTTTGTTGCTTCATGCAATGGAGTGTGGTACAGAAAATCCATTTTTTCCTATTAAAGAAAAAGTCAATTATTTTTCACATGAAATAATTCACTAAGAGTTTGGTTTATATTAATAGTTAAAAAGATTTTTTGAAATGTTATAAGGCCTAATATAAATGGTTATATAACTATCAACAGTTTATACATGACCATGTAACCAATCAAAAATCTTAAAACTTAAAAAAACAATGGTGAAACAGCTAAAATAATTAGTCCATAAATTTGCAAAACCCCTATATATGTGTTTTTTCTGGTTGGGTTTTACTTCCCACCAATATTGGTCATAATAGAATCTTTACTGTACAGGTGAAAAGAAACTTAGGTGCCTTCTGTGCATTATTTCAGCATTAAACGGGCACCGAGTTGAACCACAGGCATTCTTTTAGTTAGCTGGACAGTTACCTCACATGAAAGAAGTCCCTTGTGAAATTCAAGCCCACAAGGGAATCAAGGAGACCATAACCACTTGACCATGGAC